GAGAGAGAGAGAGAGAGAGAGAGAGTTAGTTTCCACTGTTATTTTGAAAGCGCTAGTCTGAGCTACTCTCTGGCCTTCCCAACCAGCAGAAAAGCAAGGTGCTCACCCAGATAGCCGGCTCTCATATCTGAGGTTAGTGGTTCATTCCCAACAAATGTGGCATCCTGCAAGTCTTCATTCAGGTCCAGAAAGCCCCCGGCCCAGTCCTTCGCTCCAACTGCTCCCACAACTGCATGGCCCTGCTCAGGGAAGGAAGGAAAAGGCTGAGTGTCATTCTGAGTCAACTGAACCGACAGCACCCTTATCTCATCATCTCATCGCTGTGCACCTTGCTAAGGTCTGCGCTGATCCCACTGGAGGAGAGTTCCATGTCAAAGGACGTCAGGTCTCGTAAGTTTGTGCCTGAGGGACAGAGTAGACCAAAGCAACAATGAGAAGGACACATCTGTAGGAACAGCGAACAAGAGGCACAACACTGCTGGGCGGTGGTGGCGCACGCCTTTAATCCCAACACTCGGGAGGCAGAGGCAGGTGGATCTCTGTGAGTTCGAGGCCAGCCTGGTCTCCAGGGCGAGTGCCAGGATAGGCTCCAAAGCTACACAGAGAAACCCTGTCTCGAAAAACCAAAAAAAAAAAAAAAAAAAAAAACATGGGTACAGACCCTTCTGCCCCAGTTCCCTGAGTGCTGAGATGACAGACACATACTACCATGCCTGGCCAAATCCCTTTATTTTTGGAACTTTTTTGTTCTCCAACCTCCACCCCCAGGTTTTACCTTTGCAGTCTTAGACTATGTTGGTCATTTTTGGTCGCAGTGTCACTGCTGACATCATCCAAATCCTCTTATTCTAGGTCAGGAATGAGTGCCTGTGGGCTCCTCCCCTAGTTCCTGCCAGGTTGCCCATCTTATGTCACGTGGGGCCCACAATCCATGAGGGTGGGTGAGCTGTCTCTCCAGCCCCTCCTCCCCACCAGCTGCCAGGGTCTGGCACTCACCCTCAATTGTGTAAATCCTCCTCTGCAGGTCATCAAATAGGCCCTTGAGCTTCTCAAATGTGTCTAGAATCTTGACAAATTCCTTTGTGGGTTTGGAGGCAAAGATGTGAAGACTCTCCTGCGCGTTTTTGGACGTAAAATGCTTTCCAACCTGTGAGGAAGGAGATGGAGAGCTGGGGCACCCCGAAATCAGTCAGACGAACTTGGCACAGTGAGGAGGGAGCCTGGAGCTCAGGTGAAGAGAGGGGACCACATGGGCCTGGGAACCATACCCCGATGATGTAGCGGGTAATGTCTTGGGCTGCATCGATGTTTCCATTGTCACTAGCATCGCCGTCTGTGATGATGACTAGCACTTTGTTAGCATCTGGCCTGGCACCAGACTCTTCTTTGAACACGTTTGTCCTGTGTCCAAGGAAGGGGAATGTTCGATTCCTCTCAAAGCAGAGCCCAAGTGCCACCACCCCCACCTGCCTCCACCTCCACTGCTCACTGAATCATTGGCCAGCCAACCAAGCAAAAGCCTTTCTCTAATCTACCAAGCAGGTTTTCTAAGCCTTCAAGTGTTCTCCTGGCACATACCCCAACCTTTAGACCCCTTCTCCCTCTGGATTGGCGGGCTTCACTCTGTTCTGGGAGTACAGAACCTAGAGGTACATCCCAGAGTTCATGTGCAACCATGGGGAAGTTTGAGGAGGGGTGATTGTGGGTTTTGCCTGCCCTCCATTCTGATCACATGACAACCACAGTTTAGTCAGCTATAGGTGTTTGTATATATGAAATTCCAGAAGGGAAAAGGACTCTGTAGCCAGAGAAATTTGGAGTCACTTTTTCTAAGCAAGCAATCCATCAGTCACTTCTTCCTTCCCCACCACGTCTGGCTCTGCTGCAGCAGAAAAAATCGTCTTCTTTCTTTTTTTTAATTTATCTGTATTTGGGACAGGGTCTCACTACTATGTAGCCCTGGCTGGTCTAGAACTCATTATGTAGACTAGACTGGCCTCAAACTCCCAGAAATCCACCTGCCTCCACTCCAGAGTGCCGGAATGTGCCACAACACTCAACCTAAGAACAATCTCTTTAAGAATATAAATCGGATTTTGGTACCATCATATGTATATGTATGCCTTTGATCCCAGGACTTGGGAGGTCAAGGCAGGAGGACTGTGAGTTAGGAACCAGCCTGGGCTACAAGCAGAAGACTCTATCTCCAAAAACAAAGACAAATGAACATACATCAGACCATTGCTTCTCTGCTCAAAACTTCTGATGACTTATTCTGGGGACCAGATCTCACTACACATTGACTCCTCACTCGTCTGAACCGCCACCACCACACCTCTGACTACACCTGCTGCCATGTCCCGTCTTCTTTATTCTCTCCAGTCACAGAGACAGCCTGGTTCCCTTTTCTTCCTTCAAACTTTTCAGGTTTAGTTTAATTATGTGTATTCACATGTGTCTGTGTGTGGGCCTGCACACCTGAGTGCAGGTGCCTGCAGAGGCCAGAAGAGGGCGCTAGAGTCACAAGCTGCCCAGTGTGGGTGCTGGGAACTAAATTTGGGTCCTCTCCAAAACATGTTCTGAACCACTGAGCTGTCTCTCCAACACTCTTTTTGAGACAGGGTTGCACTATGTAAGATCTAGCTAACTAAAGTCCCTATGTAATCCAGGCTGGCCTGGAACTCCCTATGTAGTTCAGACTGTTTTGGAGCTTGCAGCAATCCTCCCTCTGCCTCCTGAGTGCTGACATTCGAGGCATGTGCCACCACATTTGGTTTGTATTGAATATTCCAAATTTGCTGAAGTTGGCTCTTGAGTGTCCTCCCCAAGGCTTGGTCTCCTGACTATTGGCACTATTGGCAGCTGGAGGAACTTTTAGGAAGTGGAACTCAGTGAGGTCTTGAGGGCATTGAAGGGGATAGCAGGACTCCTTCCTCTTTCCCTCCTTGATGTCTGAGCCATTAGCTTAGCAGTTTCTTTCTGCCACGCTCTCCTGCCATGATGTGCTGCCATGGCTCAAAGAAATAAACCTGGTCATTGACCACAGACTGAAGCTTCCAAAACTGAGCCAAGGGTGGGAACTTAGTGGGAGCATGATTGTCTACACTATGAGGCCCTGGGTTCCAATCCCTAAAGCACACATAGAAGCTGCCAAAACTGTGGATGCAAGAAGCCTTTCTCTTTATCTGTTTGTGACAGTGATGGAACTCTGGCTTCCTGTGGGCCCGTGTGGCTCAGGCTCACATCCAGGAAGTCTTATCAACAGGACCCCTCTCTAGCTGGGTGTAGTGGTACATGCCTGTAATCCCAGCACTTGAGAGAGTGAGGCAGGAAGATCAGGAGTTTAAAGCCAGCCTTGTCTGCACAGTGAGTTTGAGGCCAGCATGGGGCTATCTGAAAGAAAGTCCGTCTCAAATAGCTGTTCTCTGCCAAGGTTCCCTCTCTGACCTTCCTATGCAGCTTCGCTTTACGTTTCTGTATAGTGCATACATCTGCTGCATTATAAAACTTGCTTATTTTTCTTGTTTATTACGTTTCTTGATCCTACTGAAATGTTAAGCTCCCAGAGGGCAGAAGATTCATTCACTAGTGATATGGATGCCTAGTGCCTAGAGCTTGACAAACAGCCCTCTGCTTGCAACAGACAGCCTGTCCTCAGCCTACTAGTTAAGAACAACTTTTTTTTTTTTTAATCCTGAAAGGATATAAAGTCAAACAGTGACGAATATGTGGCAGATGCCATCTACAGACAAAACACTACAGGATTTATTCTCTGGTCTTGTGCAGAAAAAGCTGGCAAAGTTCTGACTCAGTCACAGGGTGCTGCCCAGGACAGTCAGAGGTCAAAGTATTTATGGCACACATTTCCATAACCACCTTTTTTCCCTCTCATACTCGGCACCTTTTAGAATGTCTTGTCCACCCTGTAGGGACCTCTTCCCCTAACAAAACCTCTTCCAAAGATGGACAAGGTGGACATGCCTGTCATCCCAGCAAATGGCAGGCTGAGGCAGGAGGATTACCATGAGTTTGAGGCAAACCTGGGCTGCATAGTAAATACCAAGCCAGTGAAGACTACATAGCAAGACTCTGTCTCAAACAAATAAACAAGTAAACACCCCTTCCCATAGTGAGGAGACTCCAGCGTCTGTGTTCGTGTCATTTGACCACACTTAAGTAGATTTAGGCCACAGCTGAGTGAACCTTGAACACCCAAATCAGGCTCACTAAGGACATTTTCTCTCCTGGACACTGGAATTGAGGTTTGCACATCTGAATTGAGGGCCTGAGACTGCTAACTTCCAAGCCAATGTGGCCTGGCCTTGTCCCCACTGCAGCCTCTATGGAGGAAAAGAAATGGCCACGCAGATCAACTCAGCCCCAGGAGAGACAGATCAGCACCCGGAGCGTCTTTAAAGGCACAGTGCCTGCTGTTCGGTCTACATTCAACTTACACTCATACGGCACAGAAGAGAAAATGAGGGGGAAAGTGAAATGGTAGGGACCTTTCCTTCTCTTCACAGTCTGAGCTTATGTCCAGGAGGGTCATGGGAGGAAATGGGGATGCAAATTCTCTGGTCCCCAAACTAGTCTGAGCTCCCACCCCTGCTGGCCACACTAATGTTTCAAGGTAAGGTTTTGCTTCTGCTTTAGTCTTTAAAAACATTTATTTATGTGCATATCTGTGTGGATGATGTGTGGATGCTTCATGTCTGAGGATGTGGACACGCCACTGCACACATGTGGTCAGGTGACAACCTTGGTGTGGGTCCTCAGCTCCCATCTTTTTTGAGGTAGACTTTTCTCATTTGCTGCTGCCCCATGTCGTCAGGCTAGCTGGCCCTGAAGCCTCTGGGAGGTTCTGTCTCTTGCCATCTCTCCACTGCAGTGCTGGCATTACGGGGACGTACAATTACCTCAGATCTACACATGGAGTCTCGGCATCTGAACTCATGTCACCAAATGCATAGCTACCACTTTTTCCCAGCCCATTTTACTCTTTGTTTGCTTGGTTGGTTTGGTTTTTTGAGACAAGGACTCTCTATGGAGCCCTGGTTGTCCTGGAACTCCCTGTATAGACCAGGCTGATTTCAAACTCACAGAGATCCTCCTGCCTCTGTCTCCTGGGTGCTGGGATTAAAGGCATGTAACACCATACCTGGCTGCTGTTTAGTTTTTGGAGATGGAGGTCTCACTATGTTCTCTGAACTCATACTGAACTCCTGGGATCAAGTGATCTTTGCTTGGGTCCCCTGAGCAGCTAGGATTACAAGGAGGCACCCTTATGCTTGGCCCAAGGTAGGCTTGTGGGAGTTGTTCTAAAGATTTTCATGTGTGTATACACACATGCTTGAGCACTTGTACGGAGGCCATAAAAGACCTAGTGTGCCTTCCTCTATCATTCTCTGTATATTTTTTGGCAGCAGGATCTCTTCTTGAACCCAGGGTTCATGTGTTCTTAGCTAGACTGGAAACCAGCAAGCCCCAGCTGATCCTTCTGTCTCTGTCTCCATCTAAACTAGGGTTACAAGAACGCTTGTTATGTGGGTATTGGGATACACACTCTAGTCCTTATTATTGCAAGACAAATCCTTTAACAGCTGGGTCATGTTTCCAGTCCCCGATTTAAAAAAAATGTATTTATTTGTTTATTTGGACACAGTCTTACTATGTAGCCTAGGCTAGCCTCAAACTCATAAAACCTGGAATCCTCCTGCAGAAGCCTCCCGGGGCTGCAATTAAGGCATGGGTTAACCACATGCTTCTCTTCACTTGAATTGATAGAATAAACCGCCACACTCTGCACCTGCCCATTGGCTTCCTGCACTACACTGCTGGAAGTTCTGGGTCACATAGAACTGATGAGGAGACATGGACACGTCTTCCTCCGAAGGGAACTTACACTACATAGTTGATGGCACCAAAGGTATTGGTCAGTAAGCACATGTGTTTTACATTACGTAGCAGGGCATCAGGGTCCTTCTGTTTAACATAATCCAAGAAAGTGAATTCTGTTTTGTACGATGTAGAAAACTGAACAGCAGCAAACTGGGAAAGAAAGGAAGAAACGGTATGGAGTCACTGGAACTCAGGGTTGCCATTGCTGGACAAACATTGCCACTCAGCTCACTGCCTGTTATGCAGACCCTGAGAAACCCAAGTCCACATCCCTGCCCCAAATCATTCTGAAAAATTAAGATACATATAAACAGATGTAAAAACAAAATTAATGAAACCTCTGCTTTCTTACCTAGCCATGAGCACTGGGCTCCTGGTCTCTGGGCCCACCTAACTCACCAGGACGGACAGCGCCAGTAACCATGTCTGTGAAGCCCCTAAACTAGACAGTTAGCTCTGCCAGACACAGCTGGGTCAGTCAGAATCTCTTTAGAACCAGGACTTGCAGGAGGACTCAGTTGAGAGGAAGTTTAAAGTGCTCTTTTAGAACTTAATCATGCAAATTTAGGAGTTTGCTACAGGCCAGGAAATCTAAAGAGAGACTGAAGCCTGTCTACAGAGTAAGTGGAGAGGAAACATAGAGACGTGCACAAAAAACTGCCACAGAGAACTGGGCATCTTTTGACCACTGGTTCTTTATGTTGCCGGTGGTATAGGCACAACCGTGCCTGTGCATTCTGGACACACACCTCACAATACATTTCCCACTAATGGCGTAAGCCAGTTCAGACAGGCATCTTGGAATATTACTTTATTTTGTTTTTTGAGTCAGGGTTTCTCTGTGTAGCTTTGTAGACCAGACTGGCCTGGAACTCACAGACATCTACCTGCCTCTGCCTCCCAAATGCTGGGATTAAAGGCCTGTGCCACCACCGCTGGCAGGTGGGCATCTTGGCATCCTGTTGTGTGGGTGTACCTGGTAGGAAGTGTTGCTCAGCTTCCTCATCACATCCTTCATGAAGTCCAAGATTTTTTCAAAGTCATTTTTCTCCAAGCTCATGGAGCCATCGAACAGAAATACTAGGTCGACATTGCCCTTCATACATTCTGCAAAGACCACATGAAAACAGGCCTGACTGACAAAGTTTTGGTCTACGGGCTGGCTCCTGTGGAAGCCAGCTCCTCCTCAGAGGTATTTTACCAACAGGGTCTCCAGTTCCTTACCCTGGTAAGCAGGGTACCCTTGTAACATAGGCCCCTCCAGACTCTGGGGGAAGAGGTAACACTGGCCACTGAGGTAGGTGTTCTGATCACAGGTCCGAGACAGTCCAGGATCACAGGCCTGAAGGCAGCAAAGGGAAAAAGTTAAGGCCTCCTCATGTTATGTGTCTTTCAGGCACTATCACCAGAGAATAAGAACCTTCAGAATCCTGTTTCCTCCTTCATTTCCAAAAAAAAATTTTTTTTTTTTTGCAAGACAGGGTTTCATCCTGGCTGTCCTGGAATTCACTCTGTAGACCAGGCTGGTCTCGAACTCATAGAGATCTGCCTGCCTCTGCCTCCTGAGTACTGGGATTAAAGGTGGGTGTCACAATGCCCAGCTCAAATGTTTTAGAGATCTGCCTGCCTCTGCCTCCTGAGTACTGGGATTAAAGGTGGGTGCCACAATGCCCAGCTCAAATGTTTCTCTTATTATTATTATTATTATTATTATTAATTCAAGTTAGGGAACAGGCTTGTTTCACATGTAACCCAAATGGTTTTTAAAGCAAAGCATTTCTGCCTCTAAGGGTCTCCACATCCCCAGTGCTAGTGTTCTATAACAATGGATGCTCACCACCTTTGGGGTGGCTCTAACCTCCTTAGTTTAGCACATGTTCTGTGCACAGCTGGGCATTGCCCCACATTTCCAGGGCTACCCCTCCCAACCACACACCCTTCATTTACCACATCAAAACCTCACTTTTCCAGAATAGACAGTACTGCTCTTTGCATTCGTAACTACTATCTTTTCTGTCAGACTGCAATTTACAGACTGGGCTTTGTCCTTTGCACCTCTTTGTATCTTACAGCCTCACCCCATGAAATCTAGCACAGAGCCTGACCTGTAATAGTCATTAAGTAAACAAGTTACAATTAAACACTGAATCACATGGGGCATGGAGGCACATGCCTGTAATCCCAGCACTGGGGAGGCTGAAGCAAGAGATGATCAGCCTGGGCTACATAACGAGACCCTGTATCAATGAAAACAACAACAACCCACTAACTGCACACATTTGCAACTATTAGAACATTAAAAATAAATGTAAGTAGCCTGCACCTAGATGTGCTGTGTAGCTGTGTTGGAGGCAGGAGGACTAGTAGTTCAAGGTCAACTTCAGCTGTGCAGTGTGTTTGAGGCCAACCCATACTGTGTAAGAAAAGGAAGGCACTGGTTCCTAGTCAGTTCACAGAAAGCATCGGGGTTATCGTAATCTCTGATGCTGCTGGCACTTTATCAGCTCTTTTATCTATTTCTTTTTTTCTGAGGCAGGGTCTGGTTATGTAGCTGTCTCAGCTGCCCCTGTGCTGGGATTACAGGTCTATATCCCCATATTTGGCCTCTCTTTCCTAGTGCTCTGCTCTCTGGGTCCTTATTGCATCACACAAAATTCTTACCAAAAGGCTTCCGTCAGTGGCGTCTGTCACTAAGGTCATTCCCAAGTATTTGGAGGTATAGTTAGAACCTGCATGCACCAGAAAGACAGTATGGAGGCACTCGGGCCATCAGGTGTGTTGGGGTCAGCCTCAGTTTCCCTGGGATCCCATTTCCTGTCCCTTCCCTCCTTACTCACCATGCAGGCTGAGTTGTTGGCAGGAGCCACTGCTTGGATGACACTGATAGAGACTTCCTGTGCTGTTCCCCTCACCTGGAGCTCCCACAACAACCCTGATGGAAAATCTCACTTGTGAGATGAAGCTGCCTGGGCCTTTGCCTACCTAGTCCCTCTTTTCTTATTTCCTACCCACTCCTTCCCTCCTCCCTCCCTCCCTCAGTCACTAGGATCAGCCCTCCTTGACGTTTGCTTGTTTGTTTCGAAACAAGGTCTATATAGGTAGCCCTGGCTAGCCTAGAACTTGCTACGTAGACCTGGTTAGTCTTGAACTCACAGAGATCGAACTTTCCTCTCTCCCAAGTGCTGAGATTAAAGTCATTCACCACCACACAAGGCTCTTTTGTTTTTGTTGTTTTGTTTTGTTTTTTTCAAAACTGGGTTTCTTTTTGTAGCTTTGGCTGTCCTAGAACTAGCTCTGTAGCCCAGGGTGGCATTGAACTCAGAGAGATCAGACTGTCTCTGACACCTGGGTGTCAGGAGTAAAGGTGTGCGCCATGAAAGCCCGGCTATGTATCTTAACAAGTGCTTCAGGGAGATGCAAGACTGGCTGCTCCATGGGTAAATATGTTCAGCAGCCTGACAACCTTAGTCTGATCTGATCTCGATGACCCAAAAGGCAGAAGAAGAGAACTGACTGGTTCCAGCAGGTTGTCCTGACTTCCACATGTACACTATAGGCTTCATGTACACACACACACCACCAATAATTGGAAACTAAAACCTTGCTGCCAAGGCAATGCAGCTCTTACCCTTCAGGGAAGCTCCTCTGTGCCCCTTCTCTCCCAATAGCCCAATAACAACATTCTAGAACCTTAAGCTTCTTTCCATTTGCAGTCTAGAAGAGTGGTTTGTCAGATGGACACCATAGGACCTCGTTCACTGAGTCATCAACTCTAAAGCTATTTTGATGACACAGGCCTGTCATCTCTGTTACTCAGAGACAGAGGCAGGAGGATAATGAGTCCCAAGCTAGCCATGGAAATTTACTAAGACCCTGTCTCAAAATAAAATTTAAAAAGAAACCAGGTCCAGTGGCACCTGCCTGTGATCCCAGAATCCCAGAGGTAGAGGTCAGGGGATCAGAAGTTCAAGACTATGCTCAGTGTGAAAGCAGCCTGACATACAGACTATCTCCAAACAAAGCAACAAGGAAATGAAGTCTGAGCGTGCAGCTCAATGGAGAGCTTGGCAAGCACACAGACCTAGTGTTCAAACAACAGCAGCACCACCAACAATGCCATCAGAGACCAAACTTGCCTACTATGTGCTCAACTAGGTTATGAATTAGGAAGGGGAGGGGGAAGGGTCCCTAGACACTCATGTGGCATACACCCATCACCCTCACGTTGTGGTATTGGAGAGCTTTGTCCCTGTTCTAGAAGAGCCACCTAGCAGACACGTGCAGAAATCAGGCCAGTCCCTGATATGTGATACCCTACCCCCAGCTTTGTGACCCTGGGTGGATGTGGAGCCCTGCATACTCTCCTGGTGATGGAGGGGAGTTGAAAGGGTAGCAGCTCACCCATCTCCGACTTGCAAGACCCGGTACCCAAAGTGTCTTCCAGCATGTGCCAAGAAACTCTGAGCATGCCGCGTGTCCAGGTTGTAGCTCCAGGCCTCAGCTGAGGGAGGCAAACTCAATCAGGGCTTCCTGTCTGGACCCCACATCCCACGTGCTGCCCCAAGGCCTCTTCCTCCAAACCCAGAGGCTGCCTACACCCAAGCAGAGATGGACTGGTGCCAGGACTTTTCCTCCAGAGCCTAGACTAGAGAGCAGGAGATGACACAGTCTGTCTCCCACGGCACAGACAACTCCTTCCGAGCCCTGAAGACTCAACTTCCCCTTGGACTTATTGGCAAAGAAGGGTAAGAAGCTGGAGGCCCATGAGAAAGAAGCCAGGGAAAGGGGCCCTCAGGCAGAGAATGACCAAGTTTCCAGGCAGAGGCCAAAAGAGGGTGCCCCAAGGTGCCATTACTACTCCACATGCTGCTCTTTTCTGGGGTCCTCACAGCCCAGCACCTGAGAACCCCTAAGATCAATTTCACTGAATCTCCATATCTTGTGCCCAGCAGGGAGCTGAACTCAAGCTCTGGAACCCACCAGGCCAGGGTATCTCCTGTACCTTTAGAATTTAACACCCTCCCCTTCCCAGCTAGAGTGCCATCCTCAGACTCTAAACTGTCCTTTGCTGGCCCAAATTTCCTTACAGTCACATTTAGAACCCTGTGTCCTGGGATGTCAGGGATGAGGTACCCTTATTTTTTCAGGCGAAGGGAGGTGATACCTCCGAGCAAGGAGAGCTAATCCAGTGGTGATGTAGTAATCCAACCCTGAATTCTCCTCCCCAGCCACGGTCCCGCCAACCATCTACCTAAAACCCTCCTTATTTTTTCAGGCGAAGGGAGGTGATACCTCCGAGCAAGGAGAGCTAGTCCAGTGGTGATGTAGTAATCCAACCCTGAATTCTCCTCCCCAACCACGGTCCCGCCAACCATCTACCTAAAACCTGGAAGACCCACTCCGCCTCCCCTGCTTCCTTCCTCGCCCTCTTCTCTCCTTGCTATCGTGCTTTGACTTCGTGTGGGTTCCCACTTCTCTCTCTGAGGTTCCTGGGCCCCACATCTCCTGTGCCACCTGCCGCTTAGAGTGGCCCTTGTTTCCTTCAGCTCTACAAAGCCTTCTGGTTTCTCCTGTCACAGCCGATGTCCCTGTCCCCATCCCTCCTGGATTTCCTACCAAACAGCTGGAGTCCCAACAGCAACAGTCTGGGCCCGGTGGTGTGAGAACTCATCGGCGCCAGGGAGGGACCGGTGAGTCCAGCCTCAGTCTCTGAGAGCTCTTGAGATTTTCTGGCAACCTAGACAGGGTGGAAGAGGGAAATGGCGATGCCTCTTGCATGGGGCCCCTTGCAGTGTAACTTTCTCAGGGCCACCAGGCTGGTGACACTGGGTGGGTGTGGGAGGGAGGGGTATGCTCCTGCCGGGGGTTGTGAAACCTCTCTATTCAGAGAGGAAGTGCAAGCAGGTTAGATACGCTTCCTGCGCCTTCTTGCGCTTTCGCATCTTCCCAGAGCAGACAGCGAGGCGGTTAAATGACAGCCACTTCAGCTAAGCAGCCTCAGCCCCCGGAAGACTCCTCACAGCAAGATAGAGGGGGAGGGGTATGAGAGAGAGGGTTCGGATGGGGGTAAGGGAGGGGAGAAGTGTTGTAACTGTATTATAATCTAAAACAAAACAAAAAAACAACATCCCCTCCCCCAGGGTGATAGAGGGTTGCTCAGGAAATAACCCTAAAGCCTAGTGCTGAACCACAGAGGAAGAATGTGGGTGGCAAAAAGATGGGGAGAGATGTAGCCTGGAGCAAGCTACAGAATGGCGTGTTTCAGAGCTAATTTTGTTTCTTAAAAAAAAAAAAAAAAAAAAAAAAAAAAAAAAAAAAAAAAAAAGATGAAATAAAATCCTTGGAATGGGAGAAAACATTTGTAAAGAGACAGACGGTGATGTACTCAAGACTGTATGTGAAGAACTCAGACACAAAGAACAGCTCAACAACAACAACAAAAGACACCTTTGGAGGGTGTCTTTTTAAAAATTTCTTTCCTTTTAAAAAAATCAATTGTTGTCATACGCCTTGATCCCAGAACTCAGGAGGCAGAAGCAAGTGGATCTCTGTGAGTTTGAGGCCAGCCTGGTCTACTGAGCAAGTTACAGCACAGCCAAATCTGCACAAAGAAACCCTGTCTCAACCCTACAAAAAAAAAAAAAAAAAAAAAAAAAAAAAGAAAGAAGAGAAAACAAAAGAAATTCAATTACTGAGCCCACGAGATGGCTCAGTGTATAAAGGTGCCAGCCGGACAACCCGAGTTCCACCCCCAGGACCCACGTAAGGTCAAAGTTGTCCTCTGACCTCCGTGTATGCTCTGTTCATGCTACACACATAATAATTTTAAAATCAAAGTTTTATGAATGAATGTACTTTTGAAAGTTAAAAATAAGTAATTCTTTTTGTGTGTGCAGTGCAGGGCTCAAACTGATGGCTGCTGCCTGTGGCTGAGTTACACCCCTCAGTTCCTATTATGTTTATGGTGCTGTGGATTGATTCCAGGCCCTATGTGCTAAACAAGCATTCTCCCACTGGCTACATCCCCAGCCCAGGCAGAACTTCCTTTTAAAATGATATATAAATGGCCTACAAAGAATTGAAGGGATGCTCAACAATATTAGTGTGTTTAAAGAAAGAACAGAACTGGGCATGGCCGCCTGTAATCCCCGCACTTGGGTATGGAGTCGGGACAGAGGTACTGCTAGCTCATGCTACGATGCAGACCCTGAAACAGACTCAGTGAAAGCAGCCGGGCACAGGGCTCACATGTGGAATTTCATTTGAGTCACACGCACAGAATAAGTATAACCTTTTTGTATGTGTGATGTTGATACTCAAACGTAGCACCTCAGGCTGCTGGTTGTCTAACAATGAACTACAGTCCCAGCTCTCAGACAGGTAAGCCTAGAGAGAAGAGAGGGGGGCTGCTAATGAGTTTAATCTCTTTAATATTTAATGTTCTGGGTTTAGATTGTAGAGATGATTGTACAACTTCATGAACATATATATGAGAAAAGTTTTGTTTGTTTTGTTTTGTTATTTTTCTCAAGATGGGCTTTTTCTGGGTAACTGCCCTAGCTGTCCTGGAACTTACTCTGTAGACCAGGCTAGCCTTGAACTTATAGAGATCTCCTGCCTTTACTTCTCAAGTGCTGGGATTAAAGGTGTGTGTCAGCAATGTCTGGCTATGAGGAAATATTTTAAGAGAGAGACAGAGTTTGGTTTTGGTTTTGGTTTAAGATAGGGTCTCAAGTGGCCCAGTACAGCAGTCTTCCTCCCTTGGCCTTACAGGAGCAATATACCCAGTCTGAATATATTAGTAGTGACTGATTTGGCCACTTCTTGACATAGGTGTCAAAAATGTGCAGTGGAAAGAACACAGCTTAGTCAACAAATTGTGCTTGCAAAGCTGGATGTCTATCTGCAGAAGGGTGGTATGAGAGCGGTCTCTCACCTTGAAGAAGAATCAACTCAAGGGAGATCCAAGTCTTAGACACTGAAACTGTTACAAGAAAACATGGGAAATACACTTCAAGATATGGATGAAGGCAAAAAAGTAACTTCTTTTGTTTTCATTGAATTAAATTAAATTATTTATTTATTTACTTATGAGACAGCTTTACTGTGTAGCCCTAGCTGATCCGGAACTCTTAGGGAACTGACCGCCTCTTCCACCAGAGTGCTATGCTGGGACTAAAGGTGCTGCCTCACCTGTCCTTTTGGTGTGTGTGGGGGAGGGGCAAGAGCACACCACAGTAGGTGTGTGTGTAAGGTCATCGGACAGCCTTGGGAAGTCTGTCCTTACGTTCCACCTGGCTGAGGCAGAAATCTCTTGTGCTGCCTGCTGTTGGTCAGCTTCCAGCAGTTTCCATCCAGATACTGGCCACCACGTCTGACATCTGACATTTTAGGAGGGGTTCTGGAGACCCAGCTCAGGTCATCAGTCTTGGGCAGGCTTTTACATCTCTCCGATTCTTTGTTTTTGTTTTGAAACAGGGTCTAGCTCTACAGCCCAGGCTAGCTTCAAACTCCAAGTAATATTCCTCCCACAGAGTCCTACAGGCTGGGATTATAGGTGTGAACCATCATGCCTGGTGAGGATATTCATTTACTAATTTATCAGTCTAGTTTCTGCAGTCTGCTTGGGTTGTAGAACAAAATACTTTGTGTCATAGAGAGTTTTCACTTGCCTCAAAAATGGCACTTTCTTGTTTCTGTCTCCCAAAGACCATACCTCTATATATCTTAGCACTGGGGGTTAAATTTCAGTATAAATTCTTTGAGGGAGTGGCCGGGTGTTGGTGGCGCACACCTTTAATCCCAGCACTCGGGAAGCAGAGACAGGTGGATCTCTGTGAGTTCTTTTGCCAGCTGGTTGGTGGCGCACACCTTTAATCCCAGCACTCGGGAAGCAGAGACAGGTGAGACTCTGTGAGTTCTTTTGCCAGCTGGGTCTCCAGAACGAGCGCCAGGATAGGCTCCAGAGCTACACAGAGAAACCCTGTCTCAAAAAACAAAAACAAAAACAACAACAAAAATTCTGAGGGAAACACAAATATTTAAACCCCATGGCCCTCAATATGCATGCTGTTGTGGGGTATCTACCAAAGACTGCTCAGACACAGATTTAAGCCAATATAAGTCTTTATTAGCCCAAAGTGACTACCCTGGGTGTTCAGGATCCCTGTGCAGCCCTCAGTCTTTCTCAGGTGAGCTTTTAAGCACAAAATCGTGTCCTGTGTTGACATACTTCAGTTATCAAGAACAGTTTGTCAGAAACAGAACTACAGACGCCAAAAGCTAGGTTAGTACATTTAGAGATTTCCCAGAACTATGGACTTTGATGGAGTCAGCCTTTGTTTTAGTTTAGACAGGTTGTATTGTCTACATGCTAAGTTTTACAGCCTGATTCACAGAAGTCAGTTGTGTTAAGGTCTGGGGCCCCGTTACACTCGCCTTCCTCACTTGCAAAATATATTTGTTTCATCCCAAAATGGCTTCAAATACCTTAACTTTACAGCCTGAGCCCTAAATCTCATCTGTCCCTCCTTCCCTCCCTCCTGCTTTCTTTAGACAGGGTTTCTTGTGTAGCTCTGGCTGTCCTGGAGCTTTTTCTGTAGACCAGGCTGGCCTCAAACTCAGAGATCCCCCGGACTCTGCCTCCTGAGTGCTGGGTTTTAAGGGTGTGTGGCATCCAGTCCCTAAACAGTCATCTCAATTGGATTCAGGAGGAACTTAAAGTGTGGTTCACCCTGAGGCCGAAGAGAACCAGATTTTCTTTCAGTTTTGAGCCTGTCACATCAAGCAAGCTAGGAATTTCCAAAATTCATTGGAGAAACAGGATGAGTGTTCTCATTACAAAAAGGATGGTGCGATGGTGGCCCACGCCTTTAATCCCAGCAGAACAGCAGAAGCAGGCAGATTTTTTTTTTCTTTTTTTTTCTTTTCTTTTTTTTTTTTTTTTGGTTTTTCGAGACAGGGTTTCTCTGTGTAGCTTTGGAGCCTATCCTGGCACTCGCTCTGGAGACCAGGCTGGCCTCAAACTCACATAGATCCAGAGGCAGGCAGATTTCTTGATGGGAGAACTCCTACATAGCTGCAGCTGGCTCCTCAGTGTCCGAATGTAGCCCTAATATGCCTTTTGTCTTTAGCTCCTTCTGTTTTAACATATGTAAATTGTGTCTGAGAGTTTCCCAAAGGTGCCAATGCAAAACTTGTTATTTTCTTATCAAGAATTTGCATTTGTCATTGTCCCTTTGGAAGCTTAATTAAGATGTTTAGGGGAAAGCCCTAAAAAAAAAAAAAAAAACAAAAAAAAAAAAAAAAAAAAAAAAAAAAAAAAAAAAAAAAAGCCCTGGGCAAAGGAAAAGGGTTCATTCTGTACTTAGAGGAATCAACCCTGCAGCTGGAAAAGGCTAACTTCATCCTGGAGGTGCCTCTGTACTTCTACCCACAGACCATGCCCATAGCAAATTCTCAGTGTTCTCTTTTTTTTTTTCTTTCCCCCTTGTCTTTAAGAACTGTGAGGCTTATGAGTTACAAGAAGTCAGGGGTCAAACCAACAAAGTGATTCCCCTGAGGAAGTTGGCCACAAAGATCTCAGGCTGGGACCACACTGGGGAAGTCCTGAGACAGCAAGTCTCTCTCTCTCTCTCTCTCTCTCTCTCTCTCTCTCTCTCTCTCTCTCTC